GGAGAGCGAAACGTTGCCACAATAAAAAGTCACAATATTTGCACTTGTGTCCTTTTATCTAACAGGCTAAGAACTGTTATTCTATCTAATTTCACAAACTAAACTGTAATCCAAATCATTTACATGCTAAAAGCTGCTATTCTACCTCATTTACAGACTAAGAGCTAAGTGTTATTCAGCTCATTTACATACTATGAGCTGTTATTAGGTTCATTTACAGGCTGATATTATTATCGAATTTTTTTGGGAGGCATTCAAGTTCTATCCAAAGAAAGAAAATTGCAATTCCAGTTCCATGGCTTAGTTGGTAGCGCATTCAGTTCACATTAAGGGTCCATAATTCGATCTCAGGCACTGGTAGAAACTTTGGCCATGTTTGCTTACACTTGTTACCTCTGCTTACCTAGCAGTAATTAGGTACCTGGGTGTTAGTCAACTGTTGTGGGTGGTATCCCGGGGGGGATGGGGGCTGGCAGTATATCTTAGATAAAGCTGGTCTTTGAAATAAGGTAAGAACTCTTAGTCTGTTAAACTTATTAGTGTGAAAAAGCCCTCCGGGAATAGTAATACACATATATAACACTTCAGTGATATAATTCTGAAGTGATCAGTCCCTCGACCTTGATAGGTGGTCAAGTCACTCAAGCCTAAAGCAAAGGATTGCGGCTCCCCTCATATACCTCACATTTGTTCCAGTATATAAGCTCTGGCCGCAGGCCTCTGCTTTAGGCATGGGGGACTAACCACCTCCTATTAAGGCTGCTCACCTCAAAATTAATTCCACTGTCTTGTTTTACATTTACCCGTATTCGACTGACGAAGCCTGTTGTAGAGGGAAACATTTCGGCAATATAGATACTTAAGTGTCTTGTTCACTGAGATAATAGCTGTTATTTTACCTTAGCTCAGGGAAAGGGGGTGTACATTGCAATGACAAGTACGTTAACCTGGTTAAACAACTAAGTGGACCGAGACAATCACAAGCTGGCGACCCTCACGTTTATTTGCGAACTTACAGTAGGTAACGTCCATTGAAGCAGTCCGACAGGCCACGTAAAAGGAAGAGAGAGAGGAGAGAGAGAGAGAGAGAGAGAGAGAGAGAGAGAGAGAGAGAGAGAGGCCAGAGTTGTTGCCTCCACTAAGCTGAGAACAGGAAATGACAGCCATCAAACGTATGGAGAAGTGACCCAGGCTAAGTCAACAGGTCACTTCTAGATCGCAGCACTCAGCGCTGGGGCTAACAGCCAGAGACACGATGGTCACAACGACCAAGTCAAGAGCTGCTATCCTACCTCGGATCATTTACAGGCTAAGAGTTTTCATCCTGCCTCAGTTCACGTATAGGCTGTGAGCGGTTGTCTTTCCTCAGCCCATTCTACAACGACTCCGAGTTTCTCGTACTGTTGACTGATGTATTCTTCACTGAGATGCCACTTACAGTAGTCGTCTAACACTCCGGGTATCTATTTGTTGGCAGGTGAATGGAGGTAGCAGGTTGTAAGGAGGCTCAGTCAATGGTTGATGCCAGTGACTCTCCATCAATAGTATCAACCATTTGGAAAGGAAATTCACCAAAGTACCATGAAAGAAAAGTCCGTGGCACTACCCGGACGTCACTCACCTTTGACCACTTTCAACCAAAAGACTAAACACACTTAAATTCACGAGAGGCGTGCAAGATTCAACTTTGATATATGATAATTACTGATATATTCAGGGGAAGCGGTGAGTCCGGAGAAGGTCATACAGCGCCTCAGGACGGAGAAGTAATCAGGTTTATCTAAGGGTAGAATAATTCCAATTCATTGGATCAAGAGCTCTTTGCCAACATCTGGGCATCGCCCCACCTCCTCGAAGGGAGCTTTCTATGTACCCTACAATGCTGAGCTTAAATCCTTATCAGCACCCGACAAACAAGCTGGAACTGGGTATTGAAACAGGTTATAAACTTGCAAAAGTACAACACTCCATAACTCAGCGTCAATATCCGAATTATTTGTGTCACAATCACTAAAAAAAATTATACGAGCAATTTTTGGGTTGAATATAGAAACCTGAGATTCTGGGCATTAAATTAACTTTGTATTATGAAGTGCATATAAGGAAAGAATAATAACAACTTTTTTTACCAATATATCATTTAAGATAAGTTATTTCTATAAATCACATTATCAAAAAAATTCCTTAGCAATATACAAAGTACAACTTGGTGTAATAAATCAGCAAGGAAACAGCACATAATAATAGAGTCACACACATGAAGGCGCATTAAATTAGCATTTTCTTATGACTAACAACGAATGAAATCAAATAAGCCAAAACCAACAGTAAGTGACCATTGTGGTAATAACCGAGAAAACTAGTAGATGACGCTACTAAAATATTTACAATAGCAGTGACAGAAATTTGCTGAACTTTGTGTGTGTGTGTATATGTATATATATATAATATATATATAATATATATATATATATATATATATATAATATATATATATATATATATATATATATATATATATATATATATTATATATAATAAAGAGTATGAAGAGGCAGATATAATGTGGTGTGAAGGAGATGGTATATTGTTTGTAGGAGAAACCGGTTTTTCCCCCATGTTGTGTGATCTTGTCCAGTGGTGTAGGACAGACGTCCCCCATGTTGTGTGATCTTGTCCAGTGGTGTAGGACAGACGATACTTTGAAAATTACATCAGTATATTATAAAAGGCAGGAATATATAGTACACAGAGTAAAGTTAAATAGGGAGATTTGCAAAAAAATTGGTCCTTGTATATTTACAACTGTTTGAGTTATACAGACAACTAATTCTCAAGGGATTTGCTGAAATTATATAATAAAATTTAAAAGGAAGTACGTATATTCAAATATTTTTCTAGTCTAGCCACATATTAAGAACTCAAAAAAATTTAGTGAAAGTTTTTAAACATGTGTAAAAAGAATCTTGGTCTCTTTTTTTTATACTTGATTTTCATGGTATGTAAAAATAAAAGTTAAACTTGATAATATAATACTGACGAATTATATATTTTTCTTGTGTTCAGGTTCATTACTTTAAAAATCCATCTTCTAGCTGTCCAAATTTTCAAGGAATAAACAGGAGGTTAGACAAGTGTTTCCTGACGCGGGTGTTTGTTATATGATGGCCCACAGCTGGAGTTTTTGATCATCTGACCGAGGCCTTCCACTGGCTTATCCCTTAACCCTTTTAAAAAAATTAATTGCCATACCTTATTATTATTAAAGATTCGCCGGTATTCTCCCGGCCCGGGCCTTTTCCAAGTGGTGGCCCGGCCTTGGCTCCTTCTTCAGAGAGTGTCTGAGACCTAAGTCTCCCATGGGAGGAGGCACCAGTACCTCCTCATCTTTGGGACCAACTGTCCCCAGGCCTAGCCACAAGCTAGGCCTCTCTGGTCTGCCATCCCCGCCCCAAGGGAGCAAATGGGAATAACAGTCTTATGAGCTAAAGGCTCGGGCTCAGGCACCTACCCTACCCTAGAAGGGTTAGGCATGGTATCGATGTTGTCAAACCTATTCTATTCTATTCTATTCTATTTGATTCGCCGGTAATCCCGGCCCGGGTCTCTTCCATTTTGGTGACCCGGCATTGGCTCCCCGGGTAGGGAAGTGACATTTATCGTTACTTGCACCTGTGTGGCAGGTCTTCAGCAGGAAGGGGGGGGGTACCTCACCGGCCCTATGGCCAGATGACGTACCAAACGTTAGTGTGCACTAACAGTGGCTGGTGTGCAGTGCAATGGAGGCCCAAAGCAGGCCCTCGCAGCAACTTCAGCGGGGGGGGCGGATGACGTGCAAGGACTGGAAGTAAGGTTTCCAAGTCCCTGACAGCTAAGTACACAAGATGTGCTGCCTCATCCTCTCGGGTCTGCCCTACTGGGGTCATTGGGAAGTGTCTACGGCGAAGGGGCATCGTAGCCGGGCAGTCTAACCGGTAGTGCACCAAGGGCTGCGGAACCATTCGGTCACAATGGGCATTGTCATACCTAATACCGATGCACCACCTTAAAACTCCCTCCATTTCCAAAAAAAGGTACAATATAGTTATGCAATATTTTTTATATTCCATATTTATATTTGACAAAAAATATTAAAAAACGCAACCTAACCAATCTTGCTAATATTTACCTAACATAAAATTAACTAATTTACGTAGTTACTGCAAGAATCTGCATAATTACATTAAGTTTTTCCTTGGTGGATGCAGGAAAATCAGGGGAGCTGCGCACCCAGTGTTAGGTAACAAAAATATGATGGAAAGTGTTGAATATGGTGTAAAATATTGACAAGTTGATGATTAAGACACATGCTCAACAGCTGGGTATGTTTCTCCCTACACAGTAGACTTCTTCACTCAAATACAGAGGCATCAGTAGTAATGAAATAACGATGCTGTAATCAGTCCATCAACCTTGGACAAAAAGTAGAGGTGGTCAGTCCCTCAGCTGAGGGACTGACCACCTCAAATACTGTTTCTCCAAGGTTGATGGACTGATTACATCATCTTCATTACACTACTACACCTGCTGCCTCTGTATTTGACTGAAGAAGTCTACTGTGTGGGCGAAACGTTTCAAAAATAAAGTTACCCAACTATTGCACATGTATCTAATCATCATGATAAAGAGTACTGTGGAAAATTTCGGATTTTCCTATATTCAGCATGGGTAAATTTGAATAATACTATAACTGTGTAATAAAATGTGATGCTGATCTGACCCTTTCGAGAAATTTTGAGTGTGGGGGGAGGAGAGTTAGAAGAACAGCCAGTAGGGACACCGGGGAGAAAGACGCCATTTGCAATTTGTACAGAGTACTTTCGCGCAGTTGAAGGAAGTAATTATTGTTGTCGTAGCTTCAGATATCTCGTCAAGGCCAGAAATATTAAATGTTGAGATAACATCATCTGTACAATGAGTCCAGTGGTCACACAAACTCTCTCATATAAAACAATGTAACATTGTATCTCTGTATGAAAGCTAATTTTGCTACTGTCTACTGTTTATTTACAAGTTGTCTTGTACTTGGGAATTTCCCGTGGGGTATTAAATAAAATCATTTACACAAGAATAATGGTGTGTTATACGATTTTTTTACTGCAAGACTTGAAATAAAGTTGGGAGATGATATATTACGTTTATTGTAGCACCGAGTGTAAAAAAAAAATATTAAGATTTTTATTTAAAACCCCATCGATATTTGGCACATATATTTTCAGTATTATACAAGTGTGTGTGCTTAATTTTTCACTCAATTATATCATCAGAAGAAAGTTTTACTAATCATGGATGTGGTAATATATATCAATGTTCATTATTCTCAAGGTGTGATGAAGCGTCAAAAAAAATTTTTTTTTTTCTTTCTGAAAAAAAAAAAGGCCACATCTTGATGTCGACAGATGTAAATTTAACACGATTTTCAATGCAGGAGTAACCATGAACATACACCATCACGGAACAACTGTCTGGTAGTCTTAAGTAAAGATGTCAGCCAGCTTCACTCTGTCTCCCGAGGCAATAATATTCACATCTCTGAAATGTAAACATCGACATCACCTTAAGATACATTTTGAAATTTTCCGAAAACGTAGGGAAGTATTTTTTTCCTTCTTCGAGGAAATATTGCTTCTCGTACAGGTCTTCACGATTTTTTTTTTCGGTGAACTCCGTGCCCTTTATTCCAGCATTTGGCAGATGTCACGATGTCAGGTCAGCTGGACTCAGCAGTGTAGATGATATGATGTACTTGTGCGTAGAAGTGTTAAGTCCATAAGACGTGGCAAGTCAAGAAGCCAGACAATGGTTTCAAAGTACTGTCTCTATCTCCGCCACTTCCCGTTTCCGGTATCTCCAACCCCTGTTAGGGAAGACGTAAGAACATAAGCAGGTCTACTGGCCCATGCTAGGCAGGTCTTTCTCTAAACCAACCATTCACACCCACCTGTCTAACCTTTTTCCCAAAGTCATCCAAGAATTAGCTTTAATATGTCAGGTACTAATCAAACCCAGCCCTTCCAACTCACATATTTATAGAATCTCTTTTCAAAGCTTCCCAAAGTTTTACCTTCAATTGCCTTTCTTGGGAACCTCTTCCACTCATCAACAACTATGAAAACCGATAGTACTTTCTCACGCCCTTTCTAAATATAAATTTATCTAATTTAAGAGTGAATTATAAATTGGCTTCCAAGCACTATTGCAGATATGTTCAGGAACACACTGGATAATAAAATTCTTCCACAGGATTACTTGATGAAAAGGTAATCGAAATTTGGAGCTTAAGGTAGGAAGCATTTTGGGTATCTTCTCAAGAGACAAGTCACGTGATAACAAGGAACAGATAAATACTACATGGACAGAAAACTAAGCAAGGAGGAGGGGGAAGGATCTGCATATTTCGGCGCCAATCACAGACCATCTTCACCATGAGGCTGAGATATACAGAATCTTTCTCAGTTGTGTTTTGAAGGCGTTTCGCCAACCAATGGCTTTATCATTACAATACAAGAACATAATGTAAAGAATTATATACAAAAGATGAGGTAATAAGTCCCTCAGCCTTGGAGTTGGAAATAAATGGTATAAAATACCGACACAAAGGAAATACTGTAAGCACATTAGCAGTATAATGTGACCCTTTATTGACAACGTTTCGCCCACACAGTGGACTTTATCCAGTCACAAACAGATCTACCTGAGTGAAAGGTACGTATTTATAGGATGAAGTCAGGTGGAGAATGCTGCATGTAGATTCGCCCACACAGTGAGCGAAACGTTGTCAATAAAGGATCATATTATACTGCTTATGTGTTTAGATTTCCAGCCTTGGAGTTGGTGAAGAGTATCGTAGTCATGAAGGAACTGCAACACAGTCATGGAGCTCCATGTCTGTCCATGTATTGTGTTGTTAAAGCCACTGGATGGTGAAATGTCTACAATAAAGATACACAAATGTCGGTATTGTATATCATTAACGTACAGCTGTGCTTTATTTTACATCCATGTGGGAATTAACGTACAGCTGTGCTTTATTTTACATCCATGTGGGAATTAACGTACAGCTGTGCTTTATTTTACATCCATGTGGGAATTAACGTACAGCTGTGCTTTATTTTACATCCATGTGGGAATTAACGTACAGCTGTGCTTTATTTTGCATCCATGTGGGAATTAACGTACAGCTGTGCTTTATTTTACATCCATGTGGGAATTAACGTACAGCTGTGCTTTATTTTACATCCATGTGGGAATTAACGTACAGCTGTGCTTTATTTTACATCCATGTGGGAATTAACGTACAGCTGTGCTTTATTTTACATCCATGTGGGAATTAACGTACAGCTGTGCTTTATTTTACATCCATGTGGGAATTAACGTACAGCTGTGCTTTATTTTACATCCATGTGGGAATTAACGTACAGCTGTGCTTTATTTTACACCCATGTGGGAATTAACGTACAGCTGTGCTTTATTTTACACCCATGTGGGAATTAACGTACAGCTGTGCTTTATTTTACACCCATGTGGGAATTAACGTACAGCTGTGCTTTATTTTACATCCATGTGGGAATTAACGTACAGCTGTGCTTTATTTTACACCCATGTGGGAATTAACGTACAGCTGTGCTTTATTTTACATCCATGTGGGAATTAACGTACAGCTGTGCTTTATTTTACACCCATGTGGGAATTAACGTACAGCTGTGCTTTATTTTACATCCATGTGGGAATTAACGTACAGCTGTGCTTTATTTTACACCCATGTGGGAATTAACATACAGCTGTGCTTTATTTTACATCCATGTGGAAATTAACGTACAGCTGTGCTTTATTTTACATCCATGTGGGAATGCTAGTTTGTTGATCAGGATTTTTAACAATTATATCAAAAACACTTTAAAGCATCGAAAAATTTCTACCTCACTTTATTACTGTATATGAAGCGTTGTCCAATACAGGTGTCCCTGACATTATTTACCGACACACTTGCAATAAGAAGTCTATAGTAAGATTTAATTTTAAAACTTTCATTTTCGTTGCATTTTTGACTACATCGCAGACTAGACTAGAGATGTGAGATCCTTCCACTGTCCTGCCACAACTGGCAAACGTAATCAGACTTTAAGAAAAAAAAAAACGCTATTATCTTAAATTTTTATCAATAGAAAATGTTCAATGTTTTTTTTTTCTATCTCTCTCTTTAATTTATTTTCTTTACAACGGCTTCCCTAATCTTCGTTTCGCGAAATTGACGAATTTTAAGATTACGCGAAATTATATTAAACAGGAATGCTAAAACTGGGAATATTACACTGTGTTGGAAGGAAAAATTTAGTAGAGTTCAAATCTTCGAAGTATTGAGGAGTGGTTGTTGCTACTGACAGGCTACTGACCTCGCTGAACGTTAAGATATGTACAACAGTTGGGTATCTTTATTGACGAAACGTTTCGCCTACAGTCCCTACACAATAGGCTTCTTCAGTAAAATAGAAAGGGAAGCAGTAGTAATGAAATAAAGATGATATAATCAGTCCGACAATCTTGTAGGAAAAATATTTGGGGTGGTCAGTCCCTCAGCCTGGAGAAGAGTTCAACTCCATTTTTCAACAACACTTACCTCGCTGCAAGAAGCGGACCTCTTATAGGCTCATTGGTAGATATATGGTTACGTGTCATGTCCCTGGGTTTCATGTAGTCAGCTGGCGCTGGTGCAGTCGATGTCTCCCTGCAAATGATATATTATGAAAAAAATGACACCACTGGGGCAGTCGACACCACTGTCTACAGTAGAGGACATCAACACTTGCTTCTTGTGCTCCCTCCAGTCCCCGTAATGGGGCCAACAGCTTCTATATTTGCACACTCAGACTACTGGCATGTGCAGCCATGGACAGCCACAGTGCCATCGGCTACCTCACTTTCATACCCCGGTATTTTGTGACAGATGGAAGGATGCCCCCGGTATTTTGTGACAGATGGAAGGACACCCCAGTATTTTGTGACAGATGGGAGGACACCCCGGTATTTTGTGACAGATAGAAAGACACCCCAGTATTTTGTGACAGATGGAAGGACACCCGAGGACTGCTTCACAGTTAGAAGGACTGTGCCACAGTTAGTAGTTGGAAGGACATCCCAGGACTGTGCCACAGTTGTTAGGACACCCTAGCACTGCGTCACAGCTGGAAAAACACCAAAGCACTGCGTCACAGTTGGTAGGACACCCCAGCACTGCCTCACAATTGGTAGGACACCCCAGCACTGACTCACAGTTGTTAGGGCACCCCAGCATTGCCTCACAATTGGAAGGACATTATACAACTGCTAGACGGAAGGACGGAAATCTCATCAGTGTTGGACGGAACATTCCAGTATTACTGGACGAAAGGACGAGCACCCCATTACTGCTGGATAGTAGGACGGACATCCCAACGAAGCTGGATGGTGGGACGAACATCCCAGTAACGTTGGACAGTAGTACGGATATCCCAGTACTACTGGAGAGACACTAGCAGTCTTACCAGTCCTCTTCCAGACAATAACGGCTCCATCCACTGTCTCCCTCATCTTCCTCCGTGCTGACAAAGTCTCCTGCATCATTCTCCACTAAAGAGCCTTGATGGTCATGTTCCAGGAATGATAAAGCTTGTCCAAGTTGGTAGTGGGTGGAGAGTGGTTGGGGTGAGTGCCAGTGAGTGTGTGAGAGTGGACAACACAGAGTCAGGTGGAGTGCTTTGTTGTGGATTCGTTTAATGCGGATTCGTTTGGCGTTGACTCTCAAGCTAGGACAAGAACTCGAGACCGAGCTGTTGTGAAGCACACGAGAAATGGCGCATTAAAAACTAATACTACTGTTGATATTATTATTATTCTTGCATTTATGAAATCATATGTGTTCATAAATTAATATTTGTGTTCTTGTCCACTGATGAGAAATTCATTTTGGTTATTACAGATATATGCCACCCACAGCATGGGTCTGGGGTGACTACTACCCACCGCATGGGTCTGGGGTGACTACTGCCCACACCATGGGTCTGGGGTGACTACTACCCACCGCATGGGTCTGGTGGTGACTACTACCCACCATGGGTCTGGGGTGACTACTGCCCACACCATGGGTCTGGGGTGACTACTACCCACCGCATGGGTCTGGGGTGACTACTACCCACACCATGGGTCTGGGGTGACTACTGCCCACACCATGGGTCTGGGGTGACTACTACCCACACCATGGGTCTAGGGTAACTACTGCCCACACCATGGGTCTGGGGTGACTACTACCCACACCATGGGTCTGGGGTGACTACTACCCACACCATGGGTCTGGGGTGACTACTACCCACACCATGGGTCTAGGGTGACTACTGCCCACACCATGGGTCTGGGGTGACTACTACCCACACCATGGGTCTGGGGTGACTACTACCCACACCATGGTCTGGGGTGACTATACCACACCACATGGGTCTAGGGTGACTACTGCCCACACCATGGGTCTGGGGTGACTACTACCCACACCATGGGTCTAGGGTGACTACTACCCACACCATGGGTCTAGGGTGACTACTGCCCACACCATGGGTCTAGGGTGACTACTACCCACACCATGGGTCTAGGGTGACTACTACCCACACCATGGGTCTAGGGTGACTACTACCCACACAATGGGTTTGGGGTGACTACTACCCACACCATGGGTCTGGGGTGACTACTGCCCACACCATGGGTCTGGGGTGACTACTACCCACATCATGGGTCTAGGGTAACTACTGCCCACACCATGGGTCTGGGGTGACTACTGCCCACACCATGGGTCTGGGGTGACTACTACCACACCATGGGTCTGGGTGACTACTACCCACACCATGGGTCTGGGGTGACTACTACCCACAGCATGGGTCTGGGGTGACTACTACCCACACCATGGGTCTGGGGTGACTACTACCCACAGCATGGGTCTGGGGTGACTACTACCCACACCATGGGTCTGGGGTGACTACTAATCACACCATGGGTCTAGGGTGACTACTACCCACACCATGGGTCTGGGGTGACTACTACCCACAGCATGGGTCTGGGGTGACTACTACCCACACCATGGGTCTGGGGTGACTACTACCCACACCATGGGTCTGGGGTGACTATTACCCACAGCATGGGTCTGGGGTGACTACTACCCACACCATGGGTCTGGGGTGACTACTACCCACAGCATGGGTCTGGGGTGACTACTACCCACACCATGGGTCTGGGGTGACTACTAATCACACCATGGGTCTAGGGTGACTACTACCCACACCATGGGTCTGGGGTGACTACTACCCACAGCATGGGTCTGGGGTGACTACTACCCACACCATGGGTCTGGGGTGACTACTACCAACACCATGGGTCTGGGGTGACTACTACCCACACCATGGGTCTAGGGTGACTACTACCCACACCATGGGTCTAGGGTGACTACTACCCACACCATGGGTCTGGGGTGACTACTACCCAGAGCATGGGTCTGGGATGACTACTACCCACACCATGGGTCTAGGGTGACTACTGCCCACACCATGGGTCTGGGGTAACTACTACCCACACCATGGGTCTGGGGTGACTACTACCCACACCATGGGTCTGGGGTGACTACTACCCACACCATGGGTCTAGGGTGACTACTACCCACACCATGGGTCTGGGGTGACTTTTACCCACACCATGTGTCTGGGGTGACTACTATCCACACCATGGGTCTAGGGTGACTACCACACACACCATGGGTCTAGGGTGACTACCACACACACCATGGGTCTGGGGTGACTACTACCCACACCAAGGGTCTGGGGTGACTACTACCCACACCATAGGTCTAGATTGACTACCACACACACCATGGGTCTAGGGTGACAAACCGCACACACCATGGGTCTAGGGTGACTACCACACACACCATGGGTCTAGGGTGACTACCACACACACCATGGGTCTAGGGTGACTACCACACACACCATGGGTCTAGGGTGACTACCGCACACACCATGGGTCTAGGGTGACTACCACACACACCATGGGTCTAGGGTGACTACCGCACACACCATGGGTCTAGGGTGACTACCACACACACACACCATGGGTCTAGGGCGACTACCACACACACCATGGGTCTAGGGTGACTACCACACGCACCATGCGTCTAGTGTGACTACAACACACACCATGGGTCTGGGGTGACTACCACACACACCATGGGTCTAGGGTGACTACCACACACCATGGGTCTAGGGTGACTACTGCCCACACCAAGGGTCTGGGGTGACTACTGCCCACACCATGGGTCTAGGGTGACTACTGCCCACACCATGGGTCTAGGGTGACTACCACACACACCATGGGTCTACGGTGACTACCACACACACCATAGGTCTGGGGTGACTACCACACACACCATGGGTCTGGGGTGACTACCACACACACCATGGGTCTAGGGTGACTACTACCCGCACCATGGGTCTAGGGTGACTACTACCCACACCATGGGTCTAGGGTGACAACTGCCCACACCAAGGGTCTGGGGTGACTACTGCCCACACCATGGGTCTAGGGTGACTACTGCCCACACCAAGGGTCTGGGGTGACTAATACCCACACGATGGGTCTATGGTGACTACCACACACACAATGGGTCTAGGATGACTACCCACACCAAGGGTCTGGGGTGACTACTACCCATACCAAGGGTCTGGGGTGACTACTACCCACACCATGGGTCTGGGGTGACTACTTCCCACACCAAGGGTCTGGGGTGACTACTACCCACACCATGGGTCTGGGGTGACTACTACCCACACCATGGGTCTAGGGTGACTACTGCCCACACCATGGGTCTGCGGTGACTACTACCCACACCATGGGTCTGGGGTGGCTACTACCCACACCATGGGTCTGGGGTGACTACTACCCACACCATGGGTTCAGTGTGACTACTGCCCACACCATGGGTCTGGGGTGACTACTGCTCACACCATGAGTCTGGGGTGACTACTACCCACAGCATGGGTCTGGAGTGACTACTACCCACACCATGGGTCCGGGGTGACTACTACCCACACCAAGGGTCTGAGGTGACTACTACCCACACCAAGGGTCTGGGGTGACTACTACCCACACCATGGGTCTAGGGTAACTACTGCCCACACCAAGGGTCTGGGGTGACTACTACCCACACCAAGGGTCTGGGGTGACTACTACCCACACCATGGGTCTGGGGTGGCTACTACCCACACCATGGGTCTGGGGTGACTACTACCCACACCATGGGTTCAGGGTGACTACTGCCCACACCATGGGTCTGGGGTGACTACTGCCCACCCCATGAGTCTGGGGTGACTACAACCAACAGCATGGGTCTGGAGTGACTACTACCCACACCATGGGTCTGGGGTGACTACTACCCACACCAAGGGTCTGGGGTGACTACTACCCACACCAAGGGTCTGGGGTGACTACTACCCACACCATGGGTCTAGGGTGACTACTGCCCACACAAAGGGTCTGGGGTGACTATTACCAACACCAAGGGTCTGGGGTGACTACTACCCACACCATGGGTCTAGGGTGACTACTGCCCACACCAAGGGTCTGGGGTGACTACTACCCACACAAAGGGTCTGGGGTGACTACTACCCACACCAAGGGTCAGGGGTGACTACTACCCACACGATGGGTCTAGGGTGACTACTGCCCACATCAAGGGTCTGGGGTGACTACTACCCACACCAAGGGTCTGGGGTGACTACTACCCACACCATAAGTCTAGGGTGACTACTTCCCACACCAAGGGTCTAGCGTGACTACTACCCACACCAAGGGTCTGGGGTGACTACTACCCACACCATGGGTCTAGGGTGACTACTGCCCACACCATGGGTCTAGGGTGACTACTGCCCACACCAAGGGTCTGGGGTGACTACTACCCACACCATGGGTCTAGGGTGACTACTGCCCACACCAAGGGTCTGGGGTGACTACCACCCACACCAAGGGTCTGGGGTGACTACTACCCACACCAAGGGTCTGGGGTGACTACTACTTACACCATGGGTCTAGGGTGACTACTGCCCACACAAAGGGTCTGGGGTGACTACTACCCACACCAAGGGTCTGGGGTGACTACTACCCACACCATGGGTCTGGGGTGACTACTACCCACACCAATTGTCTGGGGTGACTACTACCCACACCATGGGTCTAGGGTGACTACTACCCGCACCAAGGGTCTAGGGTGACTACTACCCACACCAAGGGTCTGGGGTGACTATTACCCACACCATCGGTCTAGGGTGACTACTGCCCACACCAAGGGTCTGGGGTGACTACTACCCACACCATGGGTCTAGGGTGACTACTGCCCACAGCAAGGGTCTGGGGTGACTACTACCCACACCATGGGTCTAGGGTGACTACTGCCCACACCATGGGTCTGGGGTGACTACTACCCACACCATGGGTCTAGGGTGACTACTACCCACACCAAGGGTCTGGGGTGACTACCACCCACACCATGGGTCTGGGGTGACTACTACCTACAGCAAGGGTATGGGGTGACTACTACTTACACCATGGGTCTAGGGTGACTACTGCCCACACAAAGGGTCTGGGGTGACTACTACCCACACCAATGGTCTGGGGTGACTACTACCCACACCATGAGTCTGGGGTGACTACTACCCACACAAAGGGTCTGGGGTGACTACTACCCACACCATGGGTCTGGGGTGACTACTACCCACACCATGGTTCTAGGGTGACTACTACCCAAACCAAGGGTCTGGGGTGACTACTACTCACACCATGGGTCTAGGGTGACTACTGCCCACACCAAGGGTCTGGGGTGACTACTACCCACACCATGGGTCTAGGGTGACTACTGCCCACACCATGGGTCTGGGGTGACTACTACCCACACCATGGGTCTAGGGTGACTACTACCCACACCAAGGGTCTGGGGTGACTACTACTTACACCATGGGTCTAGGGTGACTACTGCCCACACAAAGGGTCTGGGGTGACTACTACCCACACCAAGGGTCTGGGGTGACTACCACACACACCATGGGTCTGGGGTGACTACTACCCACACCAAGGGTCTGGGGTTACTACTACCCACACCATGGGTCTAGGGTGACTACTACCCGCACCAAGGGTCTAGGGTGACTACTACCCACACCAAGGGTCTGGGGTGACTACTACCCACACCATGGGTCTAGGGTGACTACTGCCCACACCAAGGGTCTGGGGTGACTACTACCCACACCATGGGTCTAGGGTGACTACTGCCCACACCATGGGTCTAGGGTGACTACTACCCACACCAAGGGTCTGGGGTGACTACTACCCTCACCATGGGTCTAGGGTGACTACTGCCCACACCATGGGTCTGGGGTGAATACTACCCACACCAGGGTCTAGGGTGACTACTACCCACACCAAGGGTCTGGGGTGACTACTACTTACACCATGGGTCTAGGGTGACTACTGCCCACACAAAGGGTCTGGGGTGACTACTACCCACACCAAGGGTCTGGGGTGACTACCACACACACCATGGGTCTGGGGTGACTACTACCCACACCAAGGGTCTGGGGTTACTACTACCCACACCATGGGTCTAGGGTGACTACTACCCGCACCAAGGGTCTAGGGTGACTACTACCCACACCAAGGGTCTGGGGTGACTACTACCCACACCATGGGTCTAGGGTGACTACTGCCCACACCAAGGGTCTGGGGTGACCACTACCCACACCATGGGTCAAGAGTTATATAATAAAGGTCTCAGACCAAACTTATAAAGCAACCTACGGGAATGTTTATTGTGCAACTCATAATCTCGAAGGAAATGTGTCCATCCTTGATGTTAGAAAAGGCAATACGCAGTGTCCCGTGACAACTCAAAGTGTCCCGTGACAACTCAAAGTGTCCCGTGACAACACAAAGTGTCCCGTGACAACACAAAGTGTACCCGTGACAACTCAAATGTGTCCCGTGACAACTCAAAGTGTCCCGTGACACACAAAGTGTCCCGTGACAACTCAAAGTGTCCCGTGACAACGCAAGTGTCCGTGACAACTCAAAGTGTCCCGTGACAACTCAAAGTGTCCCGTGACAACTCAAAGTGTCCCGTGACAACACAAAGTGTCCCGTGACAACGCAAAGTGTCCCGTGACAACTCAAAGTGTCCCGTGACAACTCAAAGTGTCCCGTGACAACTCAAAGTGTCCCGTGACAACACAAAGTGTCCCGTGACAACGCAAAGTGTCCCGTGACAACTCAAAGTGTCCCGTGACAACTCAAAGTGTCCCGTGACAACGCAAAGTGTCCCGTGACAACTCAAAGTGTCCCGTGACAACACAAAGTGTCCCGTGACAACACAAAGTGTCCCGTGACAACGCAAAGTGTCCCGTGACAACTCAAAGTGTCCCGTGACAACTCAAAGTGTCCCGTGACAACTCAAAGTGTCCCGTGACAACTCAAAGTGTCCCGTGACAACTCAAAGTGTCCCGTGACAACACAAAGTGTCCCGTGACAACTCAAAGTGTCCCGTGACAACTCAAAGTGTCCCGTGACAATTCAAAGTGTCCCGTGACAACGCAAAGTGTCCCGTGACAACTCAAAGTGTCCCGTGACAACTCAAAGTGTCCCGTGACAACTCAAAGTGTCCCGTGACAACACAGAGTGTCCCGTGACAACGCAGTGTCCCGTGACAACATCTGTAATCGAGTCGAAGTGACCCAGATAACATTCCGTCTCCTCGAAGTTGACGATAAATAAAGTGGATGGAAGCGGAGAAGGGACACGAGAGCCATATAAAAAAAGTGGTGAATAGGGGTTTTGTATTTTATTTAGGACAAGGAAAGGAAGAGAAAGTTAGAGAGAGAGAGAGAGAGAGATACAAGAGTATATACATATGAATGTACAACTCTTGAGTGCACAGAATGTATTCCAGATCACGCTTGCAGCCATCGTTAGATTCTCTCTCTCTCTCTCTCTCTCTCTCTCTCTCTCTCTCTCTCTCTCTCTCGCTGTTCTTGTTAATTAAAGACTGGAGGAGGCAGGTCACACGTTAGTGCACCTCCAGCATATCCTCTCCTATATAACGAGTATGGAAGAAATCACAATAAAATGCATGATTGCAAATATGTAAAAATACCACAGTGAATATATATATATATATATATATATATTCATATATATATATATATATATATATATATATATATATATATATATAATATATATATTGTGTGTGTGTTGTGTGTGTGTGTGTGTGATTTTGAATTATTAACAGAAACTGCGGCTTGGCCAAGACTCGATCCTGCGTTCCCCATGCCCAGCCTTGTGTGAACTGACCAAAGTACGCATCACTCTCTCCGTTGGACCACCATCCTTAAACACCAGGTACCCAGCAGTACTGAGCGTGTTATCCCTGATGTAATGACATTTGTGGTCATGGAGCTGGGTATGGGTCATGGGCATAGTCACAGGGCTGGGCATGGGAACGCAGGATCGAGTCTTGGCCAAGCCGTAGTTCTGTTAATACATACACACGCACACAGTGAGACTCAATCTTTTAATGTATATATATTGTTATGAGGTCGAAGAGGTATTGGGTAGATTTTTTGAATGTAATATTAGCTTGTTCGGCGTAAGTTTGTGGCTATAAGGAGGTGGATGCGGGAGGGAAGTAGAGCAGATGAGGAACTAACTTTTTGGGAGGTCTTAGGCCATGGGTAACCAGCTGCTTCTCCAGGTGGTGTATCCTGAGGCGAGCCATGTCGAGTTCGTGCTTGACCTTCCACAGGTGGGTATCACAGAGTGGGTCCTGGCAGCGGTGGGTCCTTAACACGTCCTGCGCCTCCAACACTGCACCACGGAAACTCAACGACTTGCCCATACTCTGCAAGGCAGACATAAACACCACTCTTGTTTACATGGACAAGCTGGTACAGGGAGGCGACTCCCTCATGTCCATTTCCATGGACAGATATAAAGTATTTGAATTTTTCAATAATAATTTATATAGAGAACAAAAAGGCACAATACCGTGACTTGAACAATACACAACCCGGACATAGGAGAAAGAATCTTACAGGATGTTTCGGTCCAATTTGAATCAATGACTAGACACTAATCTTTCTCTCATGTGCGGGTTATTTGTAGATTTATGTAAATTTTATAACTGAACTGCCAGAAAGGGTATGAAATTATATACATTTCTTTGTGTGTGTATAACGCGGAAGGAAGAGGTTCTCACGACCAATTTTCTTTCACACAGTCTAACGTTAATAGTCCCGTGAGACCACCACTCCTGGACAACACTGACTGAGGTTACAATGACTGGTGAAACGTGTTAGCCCAAAATTTGCATGTGCAGCAGTGGTATGGTGTCCGCACCTTAAAAAAATGTGAGCGAAGATCAAAGACGGGAAACATAATGACTCCCAGAAGCAGACGAAAGAAAATGATCTAGGGGTAAACATTACACGTAGCATATCACCGGTCGGTCTCGAGCGTACACATACACACACACACACATCACACACACACACACACACACACACACACACACACACACACACACACACACACACACACACACATACACGTGTGGCGAGGTGTCAGAGTGGGCACCTGTGACCAGCGGGGTCCCACAGGGTCAGTCCTAGGACCAGTGCTGTTTCTGGTATTTGTGAACGACATGACGGAAGGAATAGACTCTGAGGTGTCCCTGTTTGCAGATGACGTGAAGTTGATGAGAAGAATTCACTCGATCGAAGACCAGGCAGAACTACAAAGGGATCTGGACAGGCTGCAGACCTGGTCCAGAATTGGCTCCTGGAGTTTAATCCCCCAAGTGCAAAGTCATGAAGATTTTGGGGAAGGGGGAAAAGGCCGCACCCGGGGGTTAAAAGTCTAGGGGGTCAGAAAACTACAAACCTCACCTTTAAGAAAAAGATCTTGGGGGGGTATAACACCAGGCCAAAATCTCCCTTTAAGCGCACAACAAACCAAATAAATGCTGCAGCAATATGGGCGCCTAGCAAAAACCCCAGAACAGCCCTTCCGACATCTTTAAAAAGGGAAACATTTTAGGACCCTGTACACCGTGGTACGTTAGGCCCTATTTGGGGAAAGCGGCACCATTTTTAACCCACACCTTTGCCAACACGGGAAAAAAACAGAGAAATGCAAAGTTTGCAACAAGACTTAATCCAGAGCCAAGAGGTTTTGTCCTAAAGAGGAAGGTTTAAAGGGGAAAACAACCCCACGACACTTTGGGGGACAGGAGAGATAGGGGGGGCCCTGATAAAAGACATACAAAATACTGAAGGAATTGACAAAGGGGGCAAAGGGCAGGATGTTCCAGAGAAATTTGGGCACGAAAAGGGGGCCAGTTAAAAACGAAGACACCGATGAATCACAGGGAGGTTTGGGGAAATATTTCTTCAGCCACAGATATCAGTAAAGTGGGGAAAAGTTTGGGAAAACGAAAGTAGTGGGGCAGGATCCATACTTGGGTTTAAACAAGGTATTTTAAAGCTCACGGGTCAGGGGGAGTGACCTAGTACGATCAGTGAAGAGGCGGGGGGCCCAACCGGACTCGACCCCCGCCCCCTCAACTAGGGGATACAACTAGGGGAGTTTTCACACACACACACCCCACACTACACACACCAAAACACACACCACAACACACAACACACACACACACCACACACCACACACACACACAGCCCTGCCTCCCACCCCCCAAACAGGTAAAATCTGGATTAACACAATTTTGCAATCTTATTGAGTTTTTCATCTAACGATGATGGGAGAGGCGGAGGAGGTGGTGGCGAGGGGGGCCCCGAGTGCCCCAAACAAAAGAATAGGGGCCACTTTTAGGCTCCCAGAGGCAGCCCCAACTTTCAGGTGAACTTTTGGGTTTATAATTTTCCTGAACTTTTAAATCCCCCTGGCCCCCCGGGACCTCCACACACAGCTAGAATTTAAAAACTACGGAGGAGGAGATGCGGGGGGAAGAGAAAAATGGGGGGGCGGGTTTTGTGTTCATCCCCCCCAGGAAGCCCCACTGCCCCCCTTTCGGTCCCTCACAGCAGGTCTGGACCCCCTCTAGCCAAAACCGGCCCTCCCTCACAGTTGACCTGGGCCACTCTTGGGACACGTGCGGGCTCACAGTAGACCCGGGCCCTCTAGGCACCCGTGCGGTCCCTCCCCCAGAGAAACTGACCACTCTAGGTACACCGGGCGGTCATCACAAAAGACCGGACCACTCTAGGCCCCACCGGGGAGGCATCACGTAGATCTAGAAACCCCCCTAAGGGCAAAACCCTGAGGTCATCACAGTAGATCTTAAACCCCTCTAGGCACACCGGAGGTCAAACACAGTAGACCGGCCCCCTCTAGGCAAAAACCGTTGGGGGCAAACACAGTAGACCCCGGACTACTCTTTGGCACACCGTGAGGTCATCACAGTAGACCCCACCCACTCTAGGCACAAAACCCTCGGGGCATCACATTAAAACCTGGGGGCCCTAGGCAAACCTGCGGTCATCCCCCGAACCTGGACTATCTAAAGGGCCCCCGTTAGGGTTTATCACAGTAAAACCTGGAAACCCCCTAGGCACAAACCGTGCGGTCCCTCACGTAGACCCCGGACTACTCAAAACACACCGTGAGGGCATCACAGTAGACCTGGACTACTCTAGGCACACCGTGAGGGGCAACAAGTAGACCTGGCCCCCCTAGGGGACACCGTTGGGGGCATCTACAGTAACCTGGAAAAACTCTTTGGGACACCCGGGGTCCCTAACCCGTAACCCCGGGCCCCCAGGAAAACACCGGCGGGCCCTCCAAAATTGACCTGGGGCCCCCTCTAGGCACACCGGGCGGTCCCTCACATAGACCCCGGCCCACTTTTAAGGGACAAACCCTAGGTCAAACACAGTAGACCTGGACCACTCAGGTAACCCCTGCGGTCATTACATTTAAACCGGACCACTCTAGGCACACCGTGCGGTCATCACAGTAGACCTGGCCCCCTCTAGGGTACAAGACCCTGCGGTCATCACTTTAAACCGGACCACTCTAGGCACCCGGCGGTCCCTCACAGTAGAAACCCGGACCACTCTAGGCCAAAAACCCCTGCGGTCCCTCACAGTAGACCTGGGCCACTCTAGGCACACCCTGCGTCATCAAAAGTAGACCCTTTGGGCCCCCCCAGGCACACCGTGCGGGCATCACCCGTAGACCTGGGGCCACTCTAGGCACACCGGCGGTCATCCAGTAACCCGGCCACTCTAGGGACAAAACCCTGCGGGTTTACAAGAAAACCCCGGACCACTCTAAGGGGACAAACCCTGCGTCACACAGTAAAAACCTGGACCACTCTAGGCCACACCGTGCGGTCATCACAGTAGACCTGGACCCCCTCTAGGCACACCGTGCGGGCATCACAGTAAAAACCTTAAACCCCCTAAGGGACAAACCCGGGCGGTATCCCCAGTAGACCTGGAAACCCCTCTAGGAAAAACCGGGGCGGTCACAAAATAGACCCCGGACTACCCTAGGGACACCGTGCGGTCATCAAAAGTTGACCTGGACCACTCTAGGCCACAAACCCGGGGGGTCATCACAGTAGACCTGGGCCCACCTAGGGAAAAACCGTGCGGGCCCTCACAGTAGACCTGGACCACTCTAGGCACACCGTGGGGGTTCCCTCACAGTAACCCCGGACCACCTAGGGACAACCGGGGGTCCTCCAAAAGTTTTAAAATGGACCACTCTAGGCACACCGGGGCGCCCTCACAGTAACCGGACTACTCTAGGCCCCACCCCTGGGGGTCCATCAAAGTGACCTGGGCTACTCTTAGGCCAAAACCCTGCGGTCACACATTTTAAACCCGGGCCACTCTAGGGGACAAACCCTGAGGTCCCTCACGTAGACCTGGACCACTCTAAACCCCCACACCGTGCCCCATCAAGAACCTGGACCACTCTAAAGGGACACCGTGCGGTCATCACAGTAACCGGACTAACCCCTAGGGACACCGTGAGGTCATCACAGTAGACCTGGACCAAATCTAGGTACACCCTCGGGGTTTTTATCAAAAAGTAGACCGGGACCACCTAGGCACACCGTGCGGTCCAAAAACAGTAGACCTGGACTACTCTAGGGGAAAACCCGGGGGTCATCACAGTAGACCCGAACCCCTCTAAGGGCCCCCCGTGCGGTCTCAACAGTAACCTGGACACTCTAAAAAACCCGTGCGGTCATCCCCGTAGACCTGGACCACCTAGGCACACCGGGGGCGGTCATCACAGTAGCCTGGACTACTTTAAGGGACCCGTGAGGTTATCACAGTAGACCTGGACCCTCCCAGGGACACCGTGCGGGCATCCCCAGGGGGAAACCGGACCACTCCCAGGGACACCGTGCCGGGCCCCTCCCCAATAACCTGGACTACTCTAAAGGCCAAAACCGTGGGGGTTTAACACAGAGAAACCGGGCCACTCAGGGGACAACCGTTCGGGGCCCCCAAAATAACCTGGACTACTCAGGCACACCGGCGGTCCTTTACAGTAGACCTGGACCACTCAGGGGACACCGTGCGGTCATCACAGTAGACCTACCACTCCCAGGCCCCCAGCCGTGCGGGCATCACAGGGGACCTGGCCCCTCTAGGCACACCGTGCGGTCATTTACAGTAACCCCGAAACCCCTCTAGGGAACCGTGCGGTCATCACAGTAACCTGGACTACTCTAGGCCCCCCGTGAGGTCCCACAGTAGGGCCCCGGGCCCCCTCAGGGGACACCGTGAGGTCATCACAGTAAACCGGGCCCCCTCTAGGCACACCGTGCCGGGCCCTCACGAAAACCTGGGCTACTCAGGG